GAAAATGTAGATGGAGCACATTGGGTAACATCGAGTCCCAAGCACTTCACAGGAACTCAAATGGGAAACGACGAGTTGGTCGTGGGTGAGAGAGTTACACCGAGAGAATCATATGAGGCGGAAACGGGAACCCATGGATAATCTCAGGGCCAGCTAACGAGGATCCCAGAGAACAGAACAAATGGGAGATGTGCTGTTGAAGCGCTATGCCCCACTTGGAACCCAAGGAAATAATGTACTAAATTTCGAGTTCATTATCATGCACAGTTCACTTACGTCCTCAGCCATGGCTGAAGGCGTTGCAGTAAGGTCGACTAAAGAAAAAATTTAAATTCAAAAAGAACATGTTCAACTGTTGTGCCTACAAAGGCTCTTCTCCTCACTTAAAGCCCTTTTTCCTCTCATCTCTTTTTTTATTGTTTTTTTGCGTTTGATCGTCGTCCCAACAGTTTTAGCCACAATGTTTTATAATCTATGCCCGTCATTCATTCTAGCATTCTTCCAAGTACTATTTAATTTTTCATTTATACTATTTGGACATACTGTTAGTGATATTATCTGTTTTCTCAATAATAGGTCTCCACCTGTTTCATCTCACATTCTGGTTATTTCATGATGAAGTTCGCATCACAGTTTTACCATCTCTTCTTTAATGCATACTGTTTTGTACTTGCCACTCACCAAATATCTTTTATAACCTTGGATTAACCTGTCAATTTATCCTCTTCACTCTGTATGAATGGTAGTCACGCATTTTACAATATTCTGTTATTACATTCAGCCAAATGTGATTGTCACACAAATACTACTATTTATTTTGTCAGCCCATAACTAATCTGATGATCCATGTAAAAAGGTATCCGCTGTATAACTGCCTTTTATTGTAATGATAACTAATATTACATTTTATAATTGTAAGAACCTGAAGACGAGAATTTTTTGAAAGGCATAAACTTCGTTCAGTCTGACATTTAACTCTTGATTTGGGAATATTTTTTTATATAATATAATAATTTGCTTTATTCTAGAAACAGTACTAGTGGTACAGTGTGGAATTTTCAGCACTTATCTACAATATTGTATCTAACTTTAACAAACATTTAAAGGGAGTATTTCAAAAAATAAATATAAAAAAACAAAAAAAAACACAAAATAGCAAAAAGAATGCGAAAAAATACCAAGATGTAGAATGGAAAATAAACAACATAATAAATAATATTTCAGTATTGGGTAGTTGAAGCTATGATATGTTTATGTGTGGTGAACAGTAAAACTATATCATACAAGAAGTTATGAAATGATATTAAGAATGTTTATCGCATGATCAGTTAATTTGATTGAACAACACTAAACAATCATAAAATAAACATTTCAGGTTGTGCTTTTATTGTCAGCTTTAATGGGGGTGTTTGTAGTGGTGGTGTGAGTACACTTAGATCTTATAAAACACATACTGTTTATTCTCACAGAAATAACTAAGAATCCGTTTCGTTAATAAGTATGCTAAGGTCACAATGTTAACTTTGTATTCAACGGCGTAACACAGAAGGTAATGCAGTTGATTTATGTCTTATAGATAAGCACACTGAGCTCTGCAGATTGATTTTACAGCTATTATCAAGCTTTAAACAGTGAAATGGGGCCATCTAGGTTTGAATGATCCTGAATTTTGTGGAATTTTCCTAATTTTATTTGATATTCTACTTGCTACTATATCTTTATTATTATTATTGTTTAATCATCTTTAATGAACTGGAATTGCATTGATCTTACTTAACGAATCGATATTATTTTTTTCCTTCACGTTCGCCAGTGGAACATAGGACTTCAAGCTAGTGGCTTGAAGTTTCTGTAGCAGTGCTTCATTTTACAGGATGGGGTTACTAGCCTCATGCCCAACCTTTCCTCTTTACCAGGATTATATCTGGCTTAGTGATGTAAAGGAGTGCGTCGGTGGCCGGGGATCGAACCTAGGACCATGTGCATGGTCGGCGAGCGTCCTAACCACTATACCACCGACGCACAATATTATTTAAAAGACACAAATGGTTATGGACTACTAATTTAGAATATTCTATGTATATAAATGTAGATACATAATTGTAGAGCCAGAAGAGAAATTTATCGAAAAGGATATTCTTTGCTCAAATATTTTGTGTTTTATAGATACCTGAATGAATATTTTTGCTATATTGAAATGTAGCTAATAATGTATTGCAAAATGAGATGCAGTTTCTTGCTGAGTTTCACCATTATCAATAGCAGATTCTGATTCAACGTCAATGGGTTAGGTGCCGACTGGCATAATATTCGAAGGTGATCTGGATCTGCCGAGTCCCAAGTGGAACATACGGTTTCAACAGCACATCTCAATTTCATCCTGTTTTCTAAAGTCTTTTGTAGCTGGCTATACAACTGCCTGTAAGCTATAATTGCCCCCCCCCTCACATGATCACTTCTATGTCAGCCAGAGACCGACGTCCAAGTTGTCTTTTTCCGTTACGGTTCTAACCGAAGGTATGCGTGAAGCGCAATGTCGACCAACAGCCACTCTCTTCAGTGTGTCCAAATCCATCCTCATATAATTCTGCATAATTGTTGCTTGATTTATTGCACTCAGGAAAAATTCCTTATTGCTTTTACTCTCTCTCACTGGCTATGTGATATTCAGTATCGAACGATAGCAGCCAGCTATTCATGAAAGTATTCAACCTGTCGGAAATTCTTTCAGTGACACACGAGTCAAGTCTCTGACTCATATACAAGCACTAGCTTGACATTAATGTTCAAAAGTCTCGTCCTGTTCCTAATTCTAATTACGGTGAATTGGCACACTGAATTCAGAGTATTGAATGTCATTCTTGCTTTTCTAGTACGGCTTTTGATAATTGCATTCCTTCTGCCTGTAGTTCACCTGATGCTGCCTAGATGGGAGAAGGAAAAACAACTTGCCTTAGATTTCTCTCGTTGGTGGTTATTGACGATAGCTGTTGTTAGTTAGTTAGGCGTCTCCATCACCTACGTCCTCTCTACCTTCGACTGTAATCTGGTCTTCTATGTTTCATCTGCCAACTTGTTGGTTTTCACCTTCAAATCTAAGCGAAATAGCAGGTTTTCACAGCACTACTCTTCCCAATTTGTTGGTAAACGCTAACTATATAACACAACCGATGATAATGTTCGTGGATGAGAATACATACATACATACAACTGTCTGTCTGTTTTCGACATAGAACTTTGCACAAATGTGCGGAAGTTCAAGTCGCCACACTCCGTGTAGCACGCGAAGCAAGAGAAGAAAGTACAAGAAAAGCATAATAGAAACAGTGAGCAGAGGTGTGAGACAAAGAAGTAATAAAGAAAAACAAAACAGTTTCATTGGAGATCATAAGTCACAAGGAGTGGGTGCATCTGCGCCACTGAGAACGATTTTGAGCCATGTCACCAATTGTTTCCAACCATGGATTTTTACCGTCCCGAGGACCCCAGCCTGGACGTCTACACCTTCCTACGTGGCTGACTTAAACTAACTGTTGTAGATTTCATTGACTGGTGCCAAGTTTTTGTTTGACCGCCGCTAGCTTTTTTCCAGTCTGACCCTATATCCGCTAACATTGCTCGTCGAGGGAGGCGATGGCTTGGCATACGTAACACATGTCCTAACCATCTCAGTCTTTGTAATTTCACGACTTCGTCGATTGATTTCCCTGTTTACCTAGAACTCTACGCCTAACCTCAATGTTGCTCACCTTATTATGCCACTTTACACGGGAAATAGAGCGCAGGCACCTATGATCAAAGACAGCTAGCCACGCTTTTCATGTCTTCCACTCTCAGTGGCCAGGTCTCACAACCATAAAGGAGCACGGAGCGGACTGATGAGCAGTACACCCGCCCTTTGGTCGATAGTCGAACATCTCGTCTAGGCCAGAGTCGGCGTAAACTGGCAAATGCGAAACGAGCCCCCTGTATTTGTGCTGAGATTTCGTCAGAGATCAGCGGTCACAAGTGAGCTGATATATATATATATATATATATATATACAAAAACAACGAATATAAATTGCATGTGTAAATCACATCAGTATTTATTTGATATTAGACAATCAAAATTAAACAACCGAACAAATATTACGTGGGCGGGATAAAACGAATAACAATATATATATATATATACTTGCATAACAGTATTTCCGATTTTGATTGGCCGATAAGCAAATACTGGAATTAAATCTAAATAAAGAAGCAGAAAGATAGGGATTCTCATCACTGAAAGGTAATCAGGCTAGGTATCGAGTAGGTTATTTATCAGTTAGTTTAATCATCATCATCGCCAGCCAGAAAACAACAATTTGAGTCGTGAAGAGGAAGAGAGAGAGATAGACAGACAGAGGTATAGAAATGTGAATAATTATGCCAAAATAACAAAGAAATAAAAATGAAAAGAGATCTTTTTTAATTAACGATGAAACGAATGATGTATAACAAACTTTGATTGATAAATAAAATCTCATATTAAGGTAAATAAAAGACACAAAAGAAGCACTACGAATAGCTGGCGCACACATACACACAAGTTCGTACCAATACAATTATGAGTTGATGATGAAAAGAACGGTGTATGATATAAACATAAATAAATACAAGTTAATCATGGAAATCAAGAAAAGCGGATAAATCAAAAATAGGGATCACTCCGGATCCCAATAATAATTATTAATTAATTTGAAAAAATAATATATATATGTAAAAAAAGCGTTAACTGAGTATTACTAAGCCTTCTTGCTTGGGTACAAAAGAATGAGTGGGAATGGGAGTACTTGCTCCTTCGTTCATTGTTTTTACAAAAAAATAATAAATAAATAAATAAATTAGAAATAATAAATTAACAGGTACAAAAAAAAAAACAAAAAAAAAAAATATTGCAATCAAAATAAAAATGAAGCAAAATAATGTGACTAGATAGAAATTCATTAAGTTACATTGTATGTAGTATGACTGTTAATTATGAGGCGTCTGCACATGTCCAAAGTTGACAATTAGTTGTTCAAGGAATACAAATGTTAATACAGTATGCGGTGCTAAACGTATAAATGCGGGTACAAGACCCTTGAAAAAGGATAATGGACCGGTGATTGCAAGATCGACGGCACAATTTATAAGCCCCTAAGAAATGAACATAAGACAGAATAAAATCAATAATTACAATTATTACTATTACTACTTTTAAGAGTTAGTTTGTAGACAATTGATTTGTTTCAGGTTTGATAACCGAATCTTGTTGGTTAGGAAACCAGTGAAAACTAGGGAGTATCGTATGAATAATTTGTCCTTGTTTGGGACTATTCAGTAGTACACATCCAGGACCCCACCAACGATCGAAACTAGGACCTTCGGGTTACGAGGCTCAGCTCTTTGGCCCTTCAGACACTAGGACCCAATCCATTGCCCCATGAACTCCAGCTTCTACCAATTCATGAACCCAGTGCGTATGGTTGAAGAGTCATAAACTAGAACGAAACAGCTGTCCAGTAGTCTCAAGTTTCCGAATGGTTCTCTACCTGATGTCAACTCGTGATCTAACTCTTGATTTCCACAACCTATTCCTGAACAAACAAAGTAGAACCTGAATGGGGAAGGACGATTTACGCGTTGGTCCGCGAGTGACATGCAAAGGATCATGTGAGAGAGAAATGAAAGCTTACAGACAATACAGTGAGACGTAGATATGCTGTTTTAACCGTCTTCCATCAAAAACCCAAGGCAATAATAATAATAATAGTAACCTGCAAATATACACAGTTGACCAGAATGTAAAATTACGACTTGTGTAACGAATCCTGCATAGTAGATTTTAAATTGAACTAACTAACCACCCAGTGCGTCGGTGGCATAGTGGTTAGTACACTCGCCGACCATGCACATGGTCCGGGGTTCAATCCCCGACCGGCGCACTCCTTCACCTCGCTGAACCAGTAATAAAAGTCGGTAAAGAGGAAAGGTTGGGCATGAGACTAGCAACCTCATCCTGTAAAAATAAACACTGCTACAGAAACTTCAAGCCTCTAGCCTGAAGCCCTATGTTCCACTGGGAACGTGAAGGGAAAAAAGCTAAACACCCCACGATGAAAGAAACAACAGTATTATCACTTGAGGAATTAACAATCTACAACAAAACTCTAAGTGATTTTACATAAAGAAATAACTGCACGTAAATTGTAAAAACGTACTGACTGACTGGTTTCAACGGAGAACATTGCACACATGTACACCGGTTCGAGTTGTCACTCTTCATTTCCATGTACCAAACAAAAAGCAAGAGAAGAGAGTAAAGAGACATTCAATGGAAAGAGAGAGAGAGATAATAAGCAGAAGTGTGAGTGAGGGAAAATGGATAGTAACATTGGAGAAACAATAGAGTGTTATGTCAAAAAGTTACTTCGCGTAGTTGATTCATGCCTTGCAGTACGAAATCACTCTTCGACGGCTATTTATATGTGAGGTGAAATAAGAGGAATCAGAAGAAAAAAAATAACTTACTGAATATTTTCCAGGTGGAGCATTCATTAAACGCGTTTTCATTACATCAAATGGTTGAGTGATAAAGGTAGCAACTCCAGCCTGCAAAATAAATAAGTAATCGCGTGAATGATTGCACTGTACATAATCAATTAGAGTATCATTAAATGAATAGAAAAAGCGAAAAATTCCATATCAGATAAGTTTATTGCAAATATCATACAAAGTGATGATTCAGGATGAACAAATAACTAGATGACAAGGTTTTGGAGCATAAATTATTCCTGCTCATAATCATACCAGTTGAGTTACACGGCTTCATGATTTGTCTTCTGTATGTTTTCTCTCTTTGTATCTCTCTTTTCAACTTCCTTTTAATGTTTGTTGCCACCTTCCATATCTCCGGTATAGGCGTTGCGACATTCCGACTGCAAATGTGTGGTGTTGAATCCCTTCAACTAAATAAATTACTTTTTAATGTTTTTCACCCTGTTCCACCAACCCTATTTTGTGATTGCATACATGTGAATACAATCCAGCGAATGAGGCTTTTTCAACACCGCACACTTGCAGTCTGAATGACGCAACGCCTATACCGGAGATATGGAAAGTGGCAACGAACAACAAGGGGAAGAGACGGACAGAGAGAAGACATATATGAGACATTTAGAAAACAGAAAGATTGAGTGAAGTAATATTTATTTTTCAATTAGATCCTCGTCTCTGGCTCTACTCTAATATATATATATATATATATATATATATATATATATATAGCATTTTTATTACAATACACAACAATTCACCAATGAAAATGCTATATATATTAGAGTAGAGCCAGAGATGAGGATCTAATTGAAAAGTAAATTGGCAGAAGTTAGAATTCAAGGACCATTGGATCGGGTCCCAGTGGCTAAATGGTATACGAGCTCGCCTTGTAACCGGAAGGTCCTGGGTTCGAACCCCGTAGTGTGGGTGCGTACTGCTGAAGAGTCCCAAACTAGGACGAAACAGCTGTCCAGTACTCCCAGGTTTTCCAATGGTTCTCTAACTAATGTCAGCTCATGATGAAATCCTGAAAAGTAAATATTACTTCACTCAATCTTTCTCTTTTCTAAATGTCTAAATGGGGATATTTTCTATATATGAGACAAACCATGAAGCCGTGTGACTAAATTGATATGAATATGAGCAGCTGCTCGAAATCCTGTCATCCAGTTGTTTTCTAATACTGCACTATCTCTGTGTGATTTCTGAAATAAACTTATCTGGTGTGAAACTACATACTAGCACCACAGTGCCCAAGTTCTATATTTACAGTGATGTAAGAAATTACATAATTATAATATAAGCTCCGTACTTTAACGGTCACAAGGTCGCCGATAACTATCATCACTCCACATTACACCTAACTATAATTGCCCAACACAACAAACAATTTAAGACTCTTAGCTCTTCTGAATTCAAGCCAACCTGTAAGCAGTTCTTCTGGAGTTTTTAAAAATGACTATGCACATGAAAAACAGCTTTTAGGTACATTCCTCATCAGGACGAAATGCGCGTCCTGCATTCAGTTACTAACCACGACATTTTAGGGTAAAGTCACTTCATAGGCACTATATAAGAACAGAAACGGAGTTTAGTAAACGCACATAGTTACACCACTACGAATAACAAAATATACAAAGAGACTGTTAAAGAAAAGTGGTAATTCATAGTCACATGAAGCAACCATTCAGAGAGTAAACTACAGCAGTCTGCTTGAATCACTGAGTTACCAGGATTTTCATCCATGAGAATGCTTAAATTCTTCTACATTTCTTATTGTTTTCATCATGCAATTGTATTAAATGATCAATACATGCACTGGTGTATTATATGTAATTAACGCTCAACGGAACGCTTTGCAATTTTTGAAGAAAATAAAGAATAAATGTACAGAATTAGTTCTTTCTTCAAATGCAACAACACTACTACACATAATATGCTTGAGATTATTAATTTACATGTAAATTCTGTATGAAAGGGAAGTATTTTAAAACTAAATTTCGCTACTGTGCCTCTATTTTGTCTAAAATAAAGCTTTATTATTATTATTATTATTATTATAAGACGTAGAACTTCAAATCTTTCCCTCCTACTTTCTTCAAAGATTAGGTGGTATACTATCAACCCATATACAATAAGCAAGCTGTCATTTACAAACAAGTACTGAAATTTTTAGGGCTGCGACTGTTTGTATAATGCATGTAACGACTAAACATGTACGCCTTGGTATTTAATTCAAATAGAATGGGTTACAAGATTTACCATGAGCTGACATAGAATAAGGAACAGTCGGAAAACCAGCTGGTAGTGCCAGACAGCGATTCCCATCGTCCCGGTACATGACACTCCGCTTCAACAGTACGCACTCACTGCCAGGGTCCGAACCCAGGAGCTTCCGGTTACAAGGCTAGCAAGCTCGTAGACCGACCATTAGGCCGCTGGGACCCGATCCGATGGCCAGCCCATGAATCCCAACTTTTGCTAATTCATGATATTTTCAAGTATTGGTTTTGTAGGGGTTTTTGTTTGATTCCTACAAAACCAATATTTGAAAATTAATCTGATGCTCACTAGCAACTGGCCCTATTCAGGCAGTGACCTGAAGTTCTAGTGGGAAGCCGTGACCAGTAGGGTAAAGCAGGTTGAAGATGAGGCAGTAATTCATCGAAGAAGACATTACGAAATGGTCGCGCTATGTCGTGAATTGGCAGAAGTTAGAATTCAAAGACCATTGGATCGGGTCCCAGTGGCTCAATAGTCTACGAGCTAGCTCGCCTTGTAACCAGAAGGTTCGAACCCCGGTGGGTGCGTACTGATGAAGAATCTCAAACTAGGACGAAACATCTGTCCACTACTCCCAGGTTTTCCAGTGGTCCTCCAACCGATGTTAGCTCATGATGAAATCCTGTAGCCAATCAAATCTCTGCAAACCACCGCTTGAATATCAAATAGAATAACTTGGCTATCACAACTGGTTGGATCCTGTGCATGAAGTGACAATTAAAAAAAACCACGGAGTACTGGACTATTATTGTCTCCTATCCTGGGACTCTTCATCAGTGTGCACTAACCAGGGGCCGAACCCAAAACTTTTGGGTTGCAAGACCAAGCTCACTGACCGGCCGGTCAACCACTTAGGTTGTAATTCAATGACCCGTGAATTCTAAGCTAGTTGATTCATCATGTAGTATTACCCTCACCAGAAAACAGAAGAGTGTCAACAATTAAACACTTACAGCACTACTGCTTGCAATCATATGCGTTAAGGGTTTATCCTGGAAACTTCCTGTATTAATAAGCATCATTTTAAATTTATCATAAAATGCCAGTTGTCCGACAGTCATAAATGCAGCACGTGAAGCAGTCATACTGACACCGCTAAATAATTTCGGCACACCTTCTTTGCGAACTACTTGAACTAAGCCATCGATACAATTTTTGTAACTATTAGATGCAAAAAAAGTTCAAATAATTAAATGTACGATTAAATTAAATACCAAACAATGATTTTTATTTGTAAACTTAAGTTAGACATAGCTCGCGTTGGACTTCTAAAGTTGTATTGTTTTTTACCCAACCGATAGCTGCTACCTTGATGTACATGGTGGTTGGACTTGCATATTCCAGCTACACTGGCTGGAAGTAATTTTCCCGCATGTTCTACCATGCCAGGAATATTGTTAGGACACCGATGAGAATAAAAGCAGTTACCGGAATGGTGTAAGATATTTTACACTATGCTGGGGGTCTTTGGTCTAAGTCGTACTTCTGGGGAACAGGGATGTAGCAGCAGTAAGGTGTTTCCCTCAGATGACCGAAATGCCAGCTATGCTGTCTCTCCACCACGAAGAGAGGGGGTCAGAAAAGGCCGACAGCAAATACTGTACATCCCGACTTACCCGACGGTGGTCCATAGCCGGCGGTAAGTGCTACGTAAGGAGGAGGGAAAATCATCAGTCGACGAGGTTGTGAAGTTAAATAAATTGAAATGGTTGGGACATATATTACGCATGTATGCATACCTACCTAGCCATCCATCGCCTCCCTCGATTGGAAAAGAGCTAGCTAGCATGTCTTGGTGGTCAAACTAAGACATGGCTGGCTTTTTCAGTCAATCAAATCCATAACAGCAATTAGTTTAAGCCAGCCAGCCACATAGGGAGGTGCAGATTGGCTTCCTGACTGGCTGGTTGGGGTCCTTGGGATGATGGTAAAAACCAATGACTGCTGGAAATAATTGGTGATATAGACAGCTCAAAATCGCTGCTTTCAATGATGGCGCAGATGTATTAACTCTTTGTCATTTATCATATCCAATCAAAGTACTTTATTGTCCTTCCATATTACCATTCTTTTTCCCTCACTCACACTTCTGTTTATTATCTCTCTCTTTATTGAATGTCTCTTTACATGGAAATGGCGAGTGGCAACTCGAACTGGTATACATCCGTGCAAAGTCCTTTGTTTGAAGCAGTCAGTCATCGTCCTTGGACTAATCAACCAAAAGCGCGCAGATTTTCCTAGCAGAAAACGAGAGACTGATTAAGAGTTAGAAGGTGAGACTTAAAATTGAACCTACGTATATAAGGAAGATTAGCCATTATGGTTAATATTATTATTACTCTCCTAAGTTTCGAGTAAGATAATATAAGGCTTCAGCAACACATCGCGATTTCACCGTGTTTCATGAAGGGTTTTTTATCTAGCTCAATGACTGTCCATAAGCATTCACTTTCGCCTCACACAATGTCCTCTATATCGCCATCGAACCCACGCCGCCCTAACCGTCAATTTCAATTTGGGTTCTATTTTAAGGCCTAGCACATAAGGCAAGTCAACACTCTTCTCAGTGTGTATCTAATCTAAAGGCATATTTGTTGGGTAACAGGTTGTTGGTTAGCTGTCCTGCCAGAATTTCTTGTGACTAATCCGTTCTGACCCACCATCTGATCTTCAGCATGGAATAAAAAGGGCAGCTGTTGATTAAAGTTTGCAGTATGTGATATATTTCTTCCTTATTTTATGGAAAAAATTGCTTTCCTTGATTTTAACAGAGTTTCTGAGACGCTATAAATCTATTGACAATTAAAATACCATCTGATTTTACATTGGACACTAGTAACTAGTGTGACGTGTCTAGTCCTTTCTTTGGTGAAGACTGAATTCTATCAGTCAGGTTTGCAATGTGGCCACCATTCTAGGTAGCTCGCCATCACGGTGCACACTGATTTGATAATATATTAGGTAGTTGGAGGCAATCGGCCACAGGAAGCCTTGGACATAGGTTTCGTGCTCAGTTACTACTCACTGGTAACGTCTCTGACTGCAGTACTGGGTGACGCGGGTTCGAATCTCAGAGAGAACATGAGTTCCTTCAAGGTGACTGCAGATACGCCTTACTGAGTGGTGAGTACCAACTAGCACGAAACCTAGGTGGTCCGACGCTTCCTATGGCCGATCGCCTTCAACTACCTAATATCATCATACCATCTGATTTTTTGTTGTTTTTATTCGTCAGTTAGGCTGCAGTAATACACCGAAAGAATACACATAAACTACTGTAAAATTAAACGGACTCTCTTTTTCTAACACTAACTTTCGTTGTGCAATCAATCGACTATTTCGTAAACATTTGAACTCCATATGAAAGACAGTTTTAATTTCCTGTCTACTTTGTTAACTACTTTGATACTGTGGGATCGGTTTCAATTTTATGCGAAATTTTGCCTTTTAGTATACTGTTGACCAGCTTAGCAGTCAACATTTTCTTAAGGATCTTCATAGCTCTATGATAGGAAACGAAAAAGTTATGTGCAACACTCCTACGAAGCACTTTAACAAAATGACAAGAGACAAGTGAAAGTAAATATGATAATGAAGAAGTATGATGTTGAATCTATGGTATCGTACAAAAATCATGATGACTACAAGTCAGCAATATGAAAAATTTGGTATGTAAGATTACTAAAAATAAAACAAAAGACGGGGATTTAAGTCAAAGTCCAGACAAACAGACAGAAGTAGCATGCAGCATAGTAAAACAATATGCATCAGTCCAATTCGCCATTATTCTAATTGTTTGCTCTTTCAGTTCCAAGTAAACCAGTAATGCTTTAGAGGGATGCTTCTATTGTACCCGATGATATGGCTTCACGCCCCCCCCCCAAAAGCTTCGATTTCGTCCTCACATAACCTTCACCATGTCACTCTTGGTCGCGCGAACCGTCTACTCTCAGGAATATATGTATAGTACACCCTTTTACACCGACTAATCCATTTGCCAGAAATCTCAGTAAAAGTATGCAGTTTGTAGACAGTATCCCTAAATGCAGTATTTGAATGCGATGCTTCACATTCCACATAAGGTGTAAATTTACTCATGCTCATAACTACATCTTGCTACTTGACAAACAGGACAAAAAATAAATGCAGAGTTTGTCTACAAAAAGAAAAAACTGAGCGGATACTAATCCCTAATCAACTAATAAAACCGATATCTGCTAAAGAAAAACAGGTAAAAGTCATTCAGTTTCAAAGAGAAAGAGAAGGAGAGAGAGTTAATGATCAATGTAATCACAGCTCATATGTGTATGAAAAAGTGAACGGTAATTTCTAGAAGCAGTATACAACTAAACAACTCACTTGCGTCTTTCATTCACTGGCACTTTCATATCATTTTGCATTCTAAAAGGTAAAATCATAAAAAGAAAAGTGTACTACAAATGTATAAACAAGTATTAACAAAAAAATAGTCAAGTTATACAGAAGAAATATTTATCTATTTGAATGCAAAATCATTATTATTAAGTTTGATCAGGTTTTGTAGCCTAGTTCATCACAGATACGTTTGCTACGAGTAGTCATCTCCTAAAATGCACTTTGACACAGCGGCATCTAATCTCTGCGTATTGTCTTCAAGTTATGGACAATTCCTATGCCATTTAATTAAGAACAAATAAGTCAGCAAAGAGATCTGTTTTTGTAACTTCACTTCAAAGTTGTACACTTATTTATTGTTAATATTATTCCTTGGGTTCTGAGTGAAACACACGGGGTTCAACAGCACATCTCCATTTCATCTTGTTTTCTTCATTCCCCTTCAACTGGGTCCAGGACTCCTCATTCGGTGGACTAAATATCAGCACCTTCGAACACATGCCAATCAAGCCTCACTCGACAGCCTAGAGTGCGGAATCATTCAACCAACACTTCTCAGCATTTCTGTACAGCTTTGAAGCGTAGTTATGAAAAGAGACGTCCTTTGCTGACTGATGCGTTCTTAAGCATATCACTATATACATTTATGAATGAATATCTCTGAATGCTGACAAACTCAAAGGTGTCATTAAATTATTTCAATAAGAGTTCTTTGACGTAGGTTGTCGGCAACCGTATGTCTAAACTTTGTACATCAATATAATCGCATATATGTATATATATATAAGGCAGTTTCCGTGAGAATTACATTAGTGAGTAGCGAGATCACATTTGATGAGACATAAAAATCTCTAGTACTCTCAGTGAATTTAAATGAACCATCAATAGAAAATTTGCCTTCTAACTGGTGCAGTATTTCAGCTAGCAGTTAGAAAACCTAATCAACCAGACTAACTATCTGATACACGCATCACCTTGGGAATTCCAACACTTTAAAACCACAATTCTGTAATGCTGATACTAGTTGACTAGTTCAAAACCTAGCTCGAATAATCTTTTGACCAAAGACCGCATAGACCTACTTGGAGAATTAGCAAAGAACGATGTTATTATCATATGCCGCCCCCAGACAAAGATGTGGGCATTGTAATAAAGAATCGCCAAGATTATAACGAGCAAAGCTCAGTGATTCTCTCTGATTAAATGAAATTCGCCTAACCCCATGGTGAGACACATCTAATTGAAAACCAACTGACAGAATATGAGAACTAAATCCGTAATCCCGCCAGATTTGTATGAACGTATCTGACCAGTAAGTAGACTTCATAATACCAAGTTTGTAGGAACTACCGAAAATTCACAAAACAGGATTACCCCTTTGTTTGATTCTCGATATGTTGGCTTATGCTTATCACGAAATCGCTCAATGCTTAGCTGAAATACTGGAACCAGTTAGAAGGCAAGTATCTAAGTTGTCCATTGACGATACATTTAAGTTTCTTGAGAGTATTAAAGATTTTATTGTCTCAGACAAAGTCATGTTCTTAAATTAGTTATTTCTCATCAATGGCTGTAGAACTTTTTAAAAAAAAGATTCGATGAACAGTCTACGAAGTGTATATTTTTAATTGAATGAGAGTAAAAATTCACAAGATGCCTTGGTCACTTACAATATCAATCATTCAAGGTTAGATGATAGTAGGTAATCAGTTAATAACAGCTTGCATGTATATGCTTCATGAGATCTCTGTCTCGAGCAGATTAGATGAAGAGGGTGGTCAAGTCATCATGGGAACAAATACACCCATTTAGTTATAAGAAGACAAACAGTTATTCAGCTAGAAAGTATTACTTCTCAAAGACCCGCCTTCTTATTCTTGAAGGTTAGGAGTTGAAAACACGAGGGTATTTAGAGGTGAGGAGAGAATTGCATTAAATCTACGAGACAATCAAACAGAAACTTCATACACCCAGTGTAAAAAAAAAGGTGGAATAGAATTGGAAATAAGACAGGCTTTTCTTTTACTCCTTGCAAGGTGTCTTACAGGTTGAGCTAGAAAAATTTGTTACAGTGATGTCATATTATGATTTTATTATTTTATTCCTTTATGTTACGAGTGGAACATAGGGTTTCAGGCTACGGCCTCGAAGTTTCGGCAGCGGTGACGTTTATTTTCACGGGGTTGGATTGCAGGTCTCACACTCAACCTTCCCTCTTTATTGGCCTTACTACTGGCTTAGCGAGATTTATCAGTGAGTCGGCCAGGGATCGAACCCCAGACCACTTTCATGGTTGATGAGGATTCTACATTACTGAACCACCGACGCACATATAATAAATTGGAATATAAACTTAAAAAAGAATGAAGTAGATGGATGCCCACTAAATATTTTTGGAAAAAGTATGATGATGTGTTGAAAACGCAGAGGGGAAATACTAAGCAAAAATCACTAGATTTCACTGAAATTGTGGTGTAGTAAATGAAGCCCTAAACAAGAGATTATTAATAATCGAGAAGCAAATTTACTACGCATACAATTTCCTGTTTACTGAAATACTGTAAGAATAACTCCCTGAATAGCCAGTAATATGATAGAAGATTAATTTTCGTTACTTGGTCAAGTAAATGACAGAAAGAACTTGCTTTATCACATTAGAGATGGTCATTCAGTTACATTTGTAGACTAGAGATTTCAATAGACTGACACAAATTGTGTACTTTGTCATTCCTCTTTGTACCCGATCAATAAAACAGTACCAATTTCAATTTGGGAAAAAACGAAATTTACCCAAAACGCTGCATGAAACCGTTACTGTAAACTGTAATTCTTGATGAAATATTCTACATGTCTATTTTTTTTTCCTTCACGTTCCCAGTGGAACATAGGGCTTCAGGCTAAAGGCATGAAGTTTTTATAGCAGTGTTTATTTTTACAGGATGGGTTGCTAGCCTCATACCCAACCTTTCCTCTTCACCAACTTTACTTCTGGCTGAGTGAGGTAAAGGAGTGCGCCAGCCGGGGAGCAAACCCCGGACCATGTGCATGGTCGGCGAGCGTCCTAACCGCTATGCCACTGGTGCGGAATAAATCCCTAGTAAAGACAAAACATTACGAAAATGCATCTGGTCCCAAATCAATATATATCGCATTTGCATAAGATGCAAGACGCAACATGTTGGTTAAGTATGATAAAATATAAAGCAAATATAAAGGTATATAATCTCCCTTTTACAGTTAATACAAGACATTAATGCCCTTCGATCACTTTCAGCTAGATCCTGGAACTCATAATGTAGAGTTTCTAACAATCTATTTCTGTTGTCTCACAGACTAGAAGTCAGACAACCTAAACTTTAACGGATAATAGAAAAACGATACTCAACAACAACGTATATTAACATGGATGTGAAAATGAATCATAAGTACTACTTTAGGGCTGGTTTTCGGATTCGAACTCATAACGTAGTGGTTGAAAGTTGAGCGCTTGAAACAATAAATCACAGTTCCCTAAACAATTAGAAACAATAGGTAACAGTCTAATGGACTGGTGCGATACCTTGACATGGCTATAATAACTCTGGCTTTATACTAACTGTGTTTCAGATACCAACGTTCGGCAAAATATTAAATGGATGAAGAACATGTCTCACATGCAATTGAGTAATGACTACATCTTAATTAACTAACTTAAGTGTGTTAATTAGAACTAAGTACTTCTACTGAGTATTAGTGCCTAGAAATTATGAGAAGCTTTCCAAGACGAATACATCTAACCGAATGACATAAGTGTTTCAAGCTATACGCCCTAACCTGAAGAATTGTTTGCTATCTCGCAAATTTGACTACTAATTAGGATTGCCCATTCACTGCTCAAAAACGAAATTTGTCTCATAAAAAATTCTGTTCTTCTATCATTTCTTCAGACAGATACACAGATGAAAACACCTTTCATACAGGCATATAAGTTAGAAATGTCGCCCTTCGAAACAGCAGCATAAGACATATAAAGCCTCCGAGTTCCCAGAAATTTAGTAAATATTTTATCCCTCAATACTGGGAGCTTAGGTGAAAAAGATATAAGTTCTTATCCTCAAGACTCTATCCTACGAAGCTATGATTTTGTGGACAATTTACTTCTCACTTTAAAAAACACCCACAACAAAAACTCTTGTGAGACTCGGAAATACCTGCAGAAAGCTTGCTAAGACGAAGTTATTAAAGGAGAATGCAGTGTGTGTGGACTGCTTTCGTAAAGTTCTGAGCAATATATACCTCGAGGTGATGAAGCTGAGCAATTACTATAAGCTCACTATGAGAATATCTGTCATTTTGACTAAGAAAGAAATGCAGAAACATCTTTCACATTACCTACTTCTTATGTTACCTGTCGCATTGCTTTTGTCTACATTACCTTTTTTAATCCCATGGTCAGCCGCCAACCCCCCCCAGCCTTTTATCAAATAATGAAGTCTCAAAATGTTAGAGGATAGCTTCGACAAAAGGGAAAAATGACTTTTGAGTTCTTAACATAGAGTCAATAGAAAAACCCCACACAATGTGACCTACGAGGGTTATACTAAGTGATGTCATCAACACAACGGACCAATTAACTAACTTAAAATTTGTAAAGTGAGGGAATGTTCAACAAAGTTAGAAAAAGGCGACGATTTTGCTACCACCAAAATCGCTGACTGAAATAGGGAAATACATACGGAACAACCATATCAATTCCTGAACCAATCTGGTGTCTACGATTTGTTATGCAAATAGCTACGATTTTTATGTATGCGGCCATTGAAAAACAGTGCTGGCAGGATGGTATGAGGAGAAACTTGGTGTGAAGTAGCATGCATTGTTAAATTATAGGATTTAGACAGTAAAATCCATACACGGTGAGTGCAAAGACGATGATACTACTTCAGAATGAGTTACAGAAAAAAAATGAAAGGTAAACACTACCTAAAAATTAGTTCAACCTGTATTATTTCAATGAAGAGAATAAAATACCTCTAAAAGAGAGAGAGCGGCGAACTATAACTTGCTTGTTAAAAATAGTGCATCTCACATAAGCTTTTTTTAATGATCTAACTAGACCGTAATGTCACTGACGAAATATGTCATTTTACAACATTTAATTTTTGAATATTGCATTAAAATAACGGCGTTAAAGTGTGGTGAAGAAAACTATCGACAGTGTGTCATAACAAGAGTATGCATCCACTTCCACAGAATCACCAAACTTTTCACCTGAAAACAGTCATTACCCTTAACAATCATTTTAAAACAATTAATATGAAGAGAAATAACGCTCGCTATAATTAGAAGACCTAGGTTTTTGATGATATATTTAGCCAGTAGAGCATTTTGAAGTATGAAAAATTCCCATATGTTCTTAATCACAAAACATTTTATAAAGTATGTCTTATCGGTTGACGATGATGCATTCTTATTTGCCTTTTACATTTAACCTAAGTAAATCCTGATACGTTATAACGAGAATTTCAGGCGAACATGTTAGACGGAGATGAACGGCAAAAGAGGGGTCAAGAAAGTTAACCCCGCTTTATCTAATAAGATAACTTTTTATAGTTGTTCGCTGACGCTAATGCAGAATACGATACGAAATAGATTTCCTAGAGTACTGAAAAGAATATCAGGTTTTAGGTCACTTTAGAAACACTTAATCCATTATTAGAGATTATCATCCTGCAAGTTATTTTCTCGGTCTACATCTGATAAGTTTTCTGGCTATTTTACTATGATGCCTACAATTTGTTTCAAAAACCACCCAACCAAGGTACACGACTGCAACTGAAAATCACTTACCTAACATTGACCATATCTGCTGGATTACCGACGATACCTCCACAAAATCCAGAGACCATGGCAATTACTGCACTTTCACCGAATGGTAATGGAGAGCCTTTGGATTGCTTATAGGTTTCGTACATTCCGAATCGAGTCATTGAATAAGTTAACTGTCTCAGAACTGAGGCGCTTATACCATTGTACAGGGCTAAAATGCCGTCTTGTTTGCACACACGAATCCCCATTTTTAACATTCCAAATTCTTTCTTTTGTTGAGTTTGTAAATGTACTTTGATGAGATCCAGTGGATGCGTGCATGCAGCAGCCATTGCACTAGCTATCCCACCGAAATACCATGATCCAATCTTCTTTGGATGGTTAGCAGTGGTGGACATTCTGGACTGTAAAAGCAGTATAAGTTTGAGAAACGAAGAGAACAACTGAAAACAACCACTTTAGTACATTTTCCCTTAAACTATTACATAAACTAGGAACAGATTTATAATATGTTCTACCATTTAGTGGGAACTCATAACTACTTTAAGTTGTGGCACACCTGAATTTCCTCTTGATTAGAAGCACTGAAATTACATCTGATTACTACTAAGATGCCTCACTTTATTATAAAGTGTTAAACGACATCAATATCTACTGTATTTAACCATAAGACTCATGTAGAGGCTTTCAACCAAACTTACAATAATTCTGAAGTAAACCTATCAAACTGTGAGCTAACGCTTTCCTCTTCAGTGCTTAAATTATTAAACAGATTTATATTCTGTAAAAGTTACCACTTTGTGCTGTTTTTCCACAATCATCAACCTACACTAGTTTTCGTCAAAACACACAAAATATCCATCTAGTATTACACCGCATTACCAACACATAGCTTAAAATTAGTTAAGCGTCAGTTGATATCTCCGCAGAAGTTTGTGAAAGTTGTTTTATTGACTATCATGCAAGAGTAGTGGTTCTCCGGTGGAAGAAATTGATCTAAACACACTAAATCATGCATAACGTGAAAAACAACTTTAAATCTTAAACAGAAACTAATGAGTGGAGAAGTATAACACGTAAAAGCGATAAATATCTAAAACCATGAAACTGGAGATACCGTCTCTCCTAACGCCTTACCTTGGGGTTTAATTAAACGCGAAGGCCGTGTAATCTAAGTGCATGATATAGTATTTCGAGACAAAGTTATCTTCAATGTTATCAATATTTGATACACTTTTTACTGGCTAATGCTTGTTGATATCTGTTACTTCTGAACCTCCTTAAATTTATACGCGATTACTGATGCCACTCGTCTGCTTCGGCATACCTAGACAAATATAGGGAGATAGTTATAGTCAACAGCTCTGGCAAATGCAATAAGCACGTTGGTGTATTTTGAAGCGGATGGGAGCACTATGTCAGGGCAGTAGCATTCCTGGTAATGAACAGATAGCACACTAGATAGTGATTATTTGGCATGACTAGAGGGGTCTTGCCAAATAATGTCAGATTGAATAGGCAAAAAAATTGGTGGGAGAGGACTGGTTACAGAACAGGTAAGGTGGTCGAAGATAGAAGAAACAAGAAAGATAGTGATATGGAGATATAAACGTTCAACAGCATACTAAAAAAGACAGATCAAAACATTCTGATACTGATAGCAACTCTCCCCCTTCCAGTGCTAGACTAATGAGTCCATGCGTAGTTGGCGCATCTCCGTCAGAGGTAGCTCAAAATGGATCTCCTCTGATGCATAGAATAGATTAGCTCCCCATAAGTGGTAAGTTCTTTGTTACACCGATGTACTCATAATCATAGCGTTACATTATTTTCAAAATCTGATCCATCTCAAATATCCAACATAGTGGGATTTTCATGCAGACTGACGGAGCTTTCTGTATTTCTTGCAACTTCTCACAGCTTCTATCATCTGCTTCAGAAGCCCGCAAAGTGACGAAGTTATTCTCTCTGAAAATCAAGGATAGCACATGATTGGAAGTTCCTCCTCACGGATCCATAGTAGGTAACGTTCTCCATGAGGAATCCATTCTGTCTACCCTCATACAGAACTCTTTGTACAGCATGGTGGCTTCTAGCGAAGACAGCCACGGAACGCATTGGCTGTATCACACCATCACAATGATACCCAGTATCACATCATGCACACTGATTCGGCATTTGTAAAGTGACCTTATCGACACAACTTCCTTATTTCTATTGGGCTAATATTTCGATCTTTAAACACTAAAGTTGCACACAGTTGCCGACCTCCTACTGAATTCCAAAGCCTCCATAGTAAGCTCCTGTCAACACAAGTGCTTTGGTCCATTTATCCATACTTTACCCATATAGTCTGTTCAACTAACTTTAGTACTACAGACCCCATTCCAATACCCCGAATTTGGGGAAATTCATTTGTCCCAGCCACCGTAACGCAACTAAAACGTCATAAAACCAGTCCAGTGCTTCCCACACGGCTTGCCCTAAGGTTCGGTTATTCAGCGTATTAGAGATCCTATCAATATCGCATCAAACGGGATTATAAAGTTTTAAGACTATCTACAATTATCCTGGACGTATAAACCCAAAGTAGCCGTAATAGTTTTTCCATAATATAAGCAAACTGATACTTTTTAATGTCTAAAGCAAGCCATATGAAAAGTGGTCATGAGTACTTAGCAATGACAAGCCCGGCCAATATTAAAAGGCCTAAATCAATCATGCGTAAATTGAAATTCAAACTTTACTAATTATTTGAAGCTGGAGATATTGTCTGGAAGGAATATGAGCATCCAGAATAAGGCCATAGAGCGTAAACGACATGACTACATAGACTTCACATTCTCATGGGTCCTAATTTTTCACATTAATACTGTCACCCCACCAGTTGTCGCATTCAGACGGACCTAGTAATTTGCGAAAAAACTATCCAGCTCAGAGAACACAAACACATCGAAAACAGGTCCTTGCTCACCTTCCTCAGGATACCTCTGCAGCATTAGCAAAGAGAAAGAGGCTAGCTAAAGAACGAAAACTTCACCACACTCTGACGAGTGCTTCACTAACCATACAAAAAATAATTGTTAAAAATAATAATGTGTCAAGATTAGTGAGTAGTAAATGCTTTCGTGACTTCGGCTTCTCGGTGAAATTCTGTGATCTGAGAAAAGAACAAATAAAAACAAGTACAGGAACTCTGAATCCCAAACAAAACATAGGAAAATAAAAGTCCCTTTTCTGCATCCTTAACAAAGAAGTACTTGAACGAACATTCGTATTAAATTCCTGGATTATGAATAGCGTAAGTTTACTTAAGGGCTGAATGTTGACCAGTCTTTCAAACTCGACGCTGCGGACAGTGGTCAAAAATGTTGAAGGTGCGATAAATTAGTTTTAATTACGCAAGGTTATAGGCGTAAAAATGTTGTGACGTAGTTTATGCCAATTTTCTAGTGAACAACCGCAGCCTGCGACTCTCTTGAAGAGTACATAAGCAATGGCTGGTCATGAGTTTAAGGCTTTGCTGACTATGTCAGTTCATGCATTGGATGCGTAAGTGATCTGTGCAGATCGTGACTAGCCCCCCACCCACCATGTGGCGAGTGTGTTTAGCGACTAGGTGGATTGCTAGCTACCTCATTCCTCCGGGGTTAAGGCGTTTAGAAAAGAATGAGACTGGTCCCATGCTATCATCAGTTAACCGATTTAGAGCTGCGCTTACAAACTTATCAGATACGTCTACCATTAGCGCAAGAGAAGCATCTGCATTGGGAGACCCTAATGTTGCAGTATTTGCAAGTGCATCCACCCGTTGTACGATTGCGTCATTTATCGTTTTGATAAATGAAAGACTTTTAGCCTTCCCAATAGTGCATCACTTAACTGTATATGTATGTACCTACACAACGTTGTAAATGTAGTTGAAGATTGAACGATCAATTCATGGTTGTTTGCTCAAAACCAACTTCCCCAATTTTCGCGGAGGCATCAATACGACAGTCATCGTCTCATCGGTCGCTGTTCAGAAAGAAGTCAGCAGAAAACCGTCAGAAGTAATATTGTGATTTATTATTGTAATAATTGTTCACAGACATTAATCATACGGGATTTATATGTTGGGTAACAATAAAGAATCCTCGAGTCAACAATTGGTGTTTTGGTTTTCCTCCCGTTATTACTAAGCGTATCTGAGAAACTTAAAGCGACAGCGTGAGCCCCAGTGTAGCAAGAGCTGGGCATTAACGGTTTATGAGACGTGGCTGACAGTTTCTGACGAGAGAAACAGATTCTGGTGAATTCAAACAGTTGGTGAAAGTTTGGATATTCGCCGTTCATTTTTCCTGGTGCCGGTCAAGTCCTCTTTGATCAAGCAATATCTGGAACGTTTTTGGAATTGGGTCAAGTTCAACAATGCCTGGGTCAAAGAAGGGACAGAGTGTCTTGGATGCAAACAGGAAAGTAAGTCATGGTGACTTGTCTGTTAATTGTAACGATGTGTCTGATGTTAAGCATGACATGGTTGATGTTACTGTTTCGCCGTTCAGGGATAATAGGAACATCAAACTCCCTAAATTTGAACCACGGTGTTTCGATGGAAACCCAGCTGATTATTTACAATTTGTAAAGGAGTTTGAGATCATGCTGAGTAGTTTTCTATTAAGTGATGAATTGAAGTTAATGTATTTGATGAGGTATTGCACTGGAGATGCTTCAAGAGCTATACAGTGCTGTAAGCTCATGCCCCCTAATGAGGGATACGCTGAGGCTATGAGCATATTACGTCAAAGGTTTGGAAGACCCTCGATGATTGCAGGGAAATTATTCGAGGCTGTTAAGGGTAATGGTGGTCAATTACATGATGACTCCCAGGCACTCACTGAGTTTTTGGATAATTTGCTAATTTACAAGATTGCAATGATTTCGATGAATCGCATGAGTGACCTCAACTCGAGTTTTATACTAGAAGTAATAGCAAGACGCCTACCTACACGACTGCAAAGGAAGTGGGTGAAGATAAGCTCCCGTATGGAGGATGAGGGTATCGAGCCAAGGTTTGATGATATCCTGAAACTGGTAAAAGATAGCGTCAATCAATCTACACTTATTTATTGTTAATATTATTCCTTTGGGTTCTGAGTGAAACACACGGGGTTCAACAGCACATCTCCATTTCATCTTGTTTTCTTCAGTCCCCTTCAACTGGGTCCAGGACTCCTCATTCGGTGGACTAAATATCAGCACCTTCGAACACATGCCAATCAAGCCTCACTCGACAGCCTAGAGTGCGGAATCATTCAACCAACACTTCTCAGCATTTCTGTACAGCTTTGAAGCGTAGTTATGAAAAGAGACGTCCTTTGCTGACTGATGCGTTCTTAAGCATATCACTATATACATTTATGAATGAATATCTCTGAATGCTGACAAACTCAAAGGTGTCATTAAATTATTTCAATAAGAGTTCTTTGACGTAGGTTGTCGGCAACCGTATGTCTAAACTTTGTACATCAATATAATCGCATATATGTATATATATATAAGGCAGTTTCCGTGAGAATTACATTAGTGAGTAGCGAGATCACATTTGATGAGACATAAAAATCTCTAGTACTCTCAGTGAATTTAAATGAACCATCAATAGAAAATTTGCCTTCTAACTGGTGCAGTATTTCAGCTAGCAGTTAGAAAACCTAATCAACCAGACTAACTATCTGATACACGCATCACCTTGGGAATTCCAACACTTTAAAACCACAATTCTGTAATGCTGATACTAGTTGACTAGTTCAAAACCTAGCTCGAATAATCTTTTGACCAAAGACCGCATAGACCTACTTGGAGAATTAGCAAAGAACGATGTTATTATCATATGCCGCCCCCAGACAAAGATGTGGGCATTGTAATAAAGAATCGCCAAGATTATAACGAGCAAAGCTCAGTGATTCTCTCTGATTAAATGAAATTCGCCTAACCCCATGGTGAGACACATCTAATTGAAAACCAACTGACAGAATATGAGAACTAAATCCGTAATCCCGCCAGATTTGTATGAACGTATCTGACCAGTAAGTAGACTTCATAATACCAAGTTTGTAGGAACTACCGAAAATTCACAAAACAGGATTACCCCTTTGTTTGATTCTCGATAT